TTGTACCTCGATGGATGCGAGTGCGGCGTTCTTCAGACTGTATGAAGGATGACCCCATCACCCTTTTCGTTGCGCTGAGCCCCCAGGTGAGAGCACAGGCAGGGAGCCTCTTCAACCATCTGCCTGCTTTCCTTGGATTCAGTCCCCTGGGATTGGGTCCCTCACATCCTCTTGGGCTCAGGCTCTCACCTGTCCACTTCCTCTTCAGGGTACAGCCCAAGGAGAGCTCTTTATAGATGATGGGCACACTTTCAACTATCAGACTCGCCATGAGTTCCTGCTGCGTCGATTCTCATTTTCTGGCAACGCTCTTGTCTCCAGGTAATGAGGTGTCCATCTGCCTTGGCAGCCTCTGGAAGAGGCGGGTCCTCAGGAATGCTCACAACTCACGGTGCCCTGTTCTTGCTCTGGGTCCCCTCCTTCCTTCTGCTCTGACATCTCTTTCCCTGATGGGCACCCATTTTTGTCCCCTCCAGCTCAGCAGACCCCAAAGGCCACTTTGAGACACCAATCTGGATCGAGCGGGTGGTGATAATGGGGGCTGGAAAGCCAGCTGCTGTGGTACTCCAGACAAAAGGTGAGGAAAGGGGGGAACCAGGGACAGGCTTGGGACACCTTGCTGTGGGAGGAGAGTGGTTTTTTTTGTTTGTTTGTTTTTAAGAAAGATTTTGATACAATTTTTAATGTTTTTATTGATTTTTGAGAGAGGAAGGGAGAGAGAGAGAAACATCTCTCGGCTGCCTCCTGCACGCCCCATACTGGGGATCGAGCCCAAAACCTGAGCCTGTACCCTGACCGGGAATGGAACAGGACCTCTCAGTCCATGGGACTATGCTCAATCCACGGAGCCACACCGGCCGAGTGAGGGACTTATGCTGTGGTTTATTTCTACGACTGTGGCACTCCTTCTTCCTCCACCAGGATCTCCTGAAAGCCGCCTGTCCTTCCAGCATGACCCTGAGACCTCTGTGTTGATCCTGCGCAAGCCTGGTGTCAACGTAGCATCTGACTGGAGTATTCATCTGCGATAACCCAAGGGATGTTGGGGGGTGGGAGGGGTGCTATTGTGATGAGAGTTACTGTTCCTTCTGCCTTGGAGTTTGACCCTCCCCAGACTTCACTGTTCTTATCCCAAGACCCAGATTCTGCCAACATCTGGGCAGGATGAGAGCACTGTCTCTGCTCTGAATTGCTCTTGTGATCTCTCGACCCCTCCCACTCATTGATGCCAAGCCTTCCTTCATTCCCCAGCACTCTGTTGCTCTGTCCGGAGCACACTGACCTGTGAAGACCTGGGGACCACAGGGCCCTTGCTTTCCCTTCTCTTTTCTTTTGAGAGTCCTGAGTCCTCCAGACCCTCTCTGTTCATACCTTTTGTGTGTTGATGCCATTTCTTGGAAGCAGTTGAGGACAGTGAGCTCTAGGGCTCCTTTTCTCTACACCTTTCCTCCCTACCAGACGACTTTCCCTCTTTTTATTTCTTCCTCCTGGCACTTCTCTGTCAGTCCTTCCCTTTTTATGCCCCACTGATCCCCTGGGACCACCCCTTACCCGGTACTGGATGAATGGATCAAAGGAGTGAGACTGCTAGAGAACTTCCTCTTCTCTCTCCCCTCTGGTTCCAACCTTTCCTCTTCCCCATTCCTTCGAGAGCTGCTGCAGCTCTGACAGGGGCAGTTTTATCTCCCCTGTCCCTTAGGGGAAAGAAGTTTCCACTTCTTAAGTGGGGGTGGGCATTAAACTTACTTTGTCCCCTTTTTGTCCCCTTGAGGGGCATTCAAGATGGAGAAATCAGTTGTGGTTTCATTGAATCACAGTCGCCTGTATTTATTGCTGGGAGAAGGCTGAGGGTGGGGGGAGATGATCATGTGTGCCCAGGGTTGGCCTGAAGCCCTGGGTGGGGGGTGGGGTGGGGCTAACGGGATGAGGGGACATATTTGTGGCAATTTTTTTTTTACTTCCTCTTGGCCCCCAGCTGTGACAGGTTTTGATAAAAGGAGAAACAATAAAGAGATAACAACAAATAACTGTTGGTGTCTGGATTCTCCTTCTGGCCTGAACCATAGACCCTTAGAAGCCTGAGGGCCTGACATTTGATGTAGCCTCAGCATAAGCCTTGTCCATTCAGGAAAATGAGCGAGTACAAACCTTCCTCAGTTTACTAGATGCCAATGTTTTCATAGAGGAACCCCACAAGGTCATCAGGTTGTGAACAGAAAGGGGGCTGTGCAGTAACCCTCATGCACTCAGGGAGACCACGTGGCAGACCTGACAAGCTTGACGACCAAAAGTAACCACACAGGATGGTCTGCTTACAGATTCCTAACTGGGCAGGTCATAGCTGATAGTCCGCTCAGGCCTATAGCTTTCTTAGCAAACGTCAATCTATACGTGAGCTCTTTTTTTTTTCAATCTACCAGAGGACATGTCTCCATCAACAAGAGAGAAGAAGGGAGAGAGACATCGATCAGCCCCTCCCTGCACCTGTATGCACGCCAACAGGACTGAACCCCCCAACCTTAGTTTGTGCTCTGACCCGGAATTAAACTCACAAAAAAAATTTTTTTTATCCTTACCCGAGGACACCTTCCCATTTTTTGTTCAGATATAGTGGGAGGGGGAGAGAGGAAGAGAGAGAGAGAAACACTGACGCAAAAGGTACACATCAAGTGGGTGCCACCCGCATGACCCAACCAGGGCTGGGGACAAACCAAGGTACGCACCCCTAGCGGGAACTGAACCCAGATCTCTCTGGACCGCAGGCCGACGCTCTAAACACTGAACCAAACCAGCCAGGGCTCAAACTCAAAACATTTTGTTTATGGGATGATGCTCCGACTGACTGACCCACCAGCCAGGGCTCTTTTTTTTTTTTTTATCTTCACATGAGGACATTTCTGCATAAAGCGAGAGGGAGAGAGGAAGAGAGAAATATTGATGTGAGAGACATCGAGTGGCTGCCACCCACACGCCCCCAACCGGGGCAGGGGACAAACTGCAATGGAAGTATGTGCCCTTAGCGGGAACTGAACCCGGGACTCACTGAGCCAAACCAGCAAGGGCTATTCTTATGCATTTAGGATAACACCTTTGAAATGTAGGAGTAATTTTCTTTTCCTACCCCTGGAAGGCACAACCATAGGCACCAGACCACAAGACTGCTAGAACATGAGACCACAGAACCCCTCATTGTTACCATGTTCCCCTCATACTGTCTCTATGTGCTGTAAATGTTAATTTTTTTCTTTATTGATTTTGAGAGAGAGAGGAAGGGAGAGAAAGAGAACTGACTGGCCACCTCCTGCATGTCCCCACTGGGGATTTGGCCCACAACCTGGGCATGTGCCCTGACCAGGAATTGAACTGGTGACCTCTTGGTGCATGGGTCAATGCTCAATCACTGAGCCACACCAGCCAGGCAAATGTTAATTATTAACTGTCCTGTACCCACCAATATAAAAAGTATGTGCCTCCATTTTGCCTTTTACCCAATCCTAGAGATTTCCCTGCTATGTTTTCTCCTGCCTCCTTAATCTACCACCAGTGGATTTCATGCACCTTCATTAACATCTTTGATTTTAATGTATAAAATAAGCTGCAGTGCCCTGGACAGTGTTGTTATTATTATTATTATTTTAACCCTCACCCAAGGATATTTTTACATTTATCTTCAGACAGAGTGGGAGGGAGGGAGAGAGAGACACTGATGTGAGAGAGACACTGATGTGAGAGAGACACATCAACTGTTTGCTGCCCACATGACCCCAACCGGGGCCGGGGATGAACCACAACAGAGGTATGTGCCCTTGGCCGGAACAGAACCTGGGACTCCCTGGTCAGCAAACAGACACTAACTGCTGAGCCAAGCTGGCCAGGGCACCCTGGACAGTGTTCATTGGTTTGAGCATTGACTGGAGCACTGAAGCGTCTTGGGTTCAATTCCCGGTCAAGGACACATACCTAGGTTGCAGGTTCAATCCCAAGTGTGGGAGACAATCAGTGTGTCTCTTTTCATACTGTTTATCTCACTTTCTCTAAAAATCAATGGGAAAAATATCTTCAAGTGAGGATTAAGATGAACAACAAAAAAAGCTGCAAAACTACCATTCTCTGGAGCATTTGAGGACTTGATCCCTGGTGTATGTCCTCAGTTTGGCTCAAAATCAAAAAATTCTGTACAGGTTTGGACATTTCTTATGTTGACAAGGTTTTGTAGGTCCACCTGTGTAGAAGTATGTGTCTATCACTTTACTTTTTATCCAATCCCACAGGTTTCCTCATTTTGCTTTCTCCCACCTTCCTAATCTATCACCAATAGATTTCATGCAGTCCACTTTTATCTCTTTTGATTGTAATGTATAAAATAAGATGCAAAACTGCCATTCTCTGGAACTTTTCTCAATTCGTTGAGATTTTGCTTCTTGGCAACTGTCTACAGTTTGGCTCAAATAAACTCACAAAAATTCTTTACAGGTTTGAATGTTTCTTACGTTGAAACATAACTTTTGTCAACCTTAGTTACTTATCTACAAAACAGGAAATAACCATCCATCTCCTAGAATTATAGTGAGGATTATAGGAGACAGACCTAGAACCCAGACCTGGCACATGATAAGCTCTAGATTTCAACCATTCAGTAACAATTATTTATTGACTACTGTTACTGGGTGCTGTGACTGATGGATGAATGAATGACTAGGAGGAGAAAATCCGGGCACAAGACGAGCTCAAGGGGAAGGTCGCAAAGTCCCTCCCAGGAGCTCCCACCGGGCTTGACGGCTAGCCTAGCACGCTTGACACGCCGGATATGACGTCACCCTCCCTCGGTTCCCAGAACGAGGCGGCGGGACCGGAAATTAACCCGGGGGACTGGGGGTGCTGCAGACTGACCGGATGTGGGCCCCGCCGGCTCGCCAGCTCCAGTTCCCCAGAGTCGGTCAAGGAGGAGCGTGAGGAAGGCGGGACGCGGGGCGGCGTCGCTGCAGGGGCGGGGCCTGCAGGCTGTCCGGCGGGGGGCGGGGGACCCCTTGTCCCCGCGGGACCCCGCCTGCCAGGACGCCGGCGGCGGCTCGGCCATGAAGCTGAAGCTGAAGAACGTGTTTCTCGCCTACTTCCTAGTGTCGATCGCCGGCCTCCTCTACGCGCTGGTGCAGCTCGGTGAGCGGGGCGGGGCGGGTGCGGCGGGCCTGCCCTCGGGCGCCCGCCGCCGCGCTGCCCGCCCTGGGCCTGCACCCCGGTGCAGACCCCGCTCCTCGGCGCGGCCTCCGACTGCCTCTGCGGCCGCGGGGCGCGCTCCCTGGCTGGGGATACAACCCAGACTGCTTCCCCGGCGTGCAGGGCCCGCATGACCTGCCGCCGTCAGCCCCTCTGACCGCGGTCCTAACCCTCTCGCTCGCTCTGCACCCGCCACTCCGGCTTCATTCAGGACAGTGCCTCGAAAACCGCACGCTCATTGCTCTCTCCAGCTCCTAACCTGCTCCCTCTGCCCGCGGCGCTTTCCCCCAGGCTCCCGCTGCCTCTTTCATCCTCAGGTCTCGGCTCAGACATCACCGCCTCGGAGAGGCTTCCCCGACCACCTCACCTAGAGTATTGCTGCCGTTTCTGGATTCTCTTTTATCCACTAACCTGTTTGCTTCCTTCGTAGCCCTTATCACAACCTGTAATGTTCTTTGCTTTCTTTGCTTAGTGTCTGCCTCCTCCACTAATGCGAAAACTCAGGAGAGCAGGGATCATGTCCGCTTTGTTTCCTGATGCATCCCCAGCACCTAAGGCAGTGCCTCCCAGGAGGAGCATTCAATAAATATTTATCCAATAATGGAATTGATAAATTGAATGAGTCTTTGGTCATACAGCCAAGGGAACAGACGGAACCCTGCCTCTTGTGTAGGGATTTCCAGACCAGGGCCACTGCGTGAGCCTCAGGATTTGAAAGACTATTCTGTTTTAGGGAGATAGACTTGTTCTTTATGACTCCAGAAGGCAAAATTAGAACCAACTGGTAGAAGGGATGGAGGCAGATAATCAGCTCAATATCCAAATGAAAATTGTACCAGACAGAATTTATTAAAGTTGGAGGGGGGCTGCTAACCGAGGCGATGAGTTCCCCACCACTGGAGGTGTAGAACAGGCTGTTAGAGAAGTTGAAAGAGATTCCTGCACTGACTAAATTGAATGAGATTATGGCCCTTTGGGATGCTGAACATGCTGTGGTTCTCTGCCCCCATGCCTGCTTCCTGGGACCAGGCCAGCCATGTGACTGCCTCCCTCCCTTGCGGGCAGCAGCAGAACAGCTTCGGCAGAAGGATCTGAGGATTTCCCAGCTGCAAGCTGATCTCCATCGTCCAGCCCCTGTCCCTGCCCAGCCCCCTGAGCCTGAGGCCTTGCCTACTATCTATGTTGTTACCCCCACCTATGCCAGGTATGGGCTCTGGTGCACCCAAGAGGCTTGCATGGACCAAATGGTTGGGGTTGATGGGGAAGATCTGGGGGAGGCATTGGGCCAGGGAATGTTCCTCAAACTAGGGCATGCCAAATGACAGGATCAATTGATCACATCTTTACTCAAACATTTGTGGAAAAATGCCTATTTTCCAGTAAAAGACTTAGGGGTATGCTGTGAAATAAAATACAAAATTCCTGAGAAATTTTAAGGTAGAACAATAAAATTTCAAAGAAATTTGGAGCTTGCCAATGAGTTTAGTCTCACCTTAGGGTGAGGAAGTTTGAGGACCCTTATCTGACTTGAAGTAGAAAAGGGCTTGGTCCTGCCCTGGCCAGTGTGGCGCAGTTGGTTGGAGCATCGTCCTGGGGGCACTGAAGGGTCATGGGTTCGATTCCCAATCAGGGCACATACCCAGGTATCGGGTTTGACTCCTGTTGGGGGCAGTGTTTCTCTTTTTCCTTCTCCCTTTCTCTCTCTCTAAAATCAATAAAAACATATCCTTGGTAAGGATTAAAAAAGTAAATAAAAAAGCTTGGTCTGGTAGTCATACCAGGTCTAGAAATAGTTACACTAGCTATTACTTACAGTGTGTTTACTCTTACCAGGTGCTGTGCTAAGTGCTGTACTTTTTCTAAGATTTTTTATTGATTTTTTTAGAAGAAGGGAGAGGGAGGGAGAGGAGGAACATCGATGTGAGAGCGAAACATTGATCAGCTGCCTCCTGCACCCCCCACTGGGGATCGAGTTGAAACCTGGGCATGTGCCCTGACCGGGAATTGAACTGGCAACCTTTTGGTGCACGTGGACAACATTCAACCAACTGAACTACACTGGCCAGGGTTAAGTACTGTATTTTTTTTTTTTTTAATTAAAACGTAGCTTTTGTTACTCATACAAATCGAGTAGGAAACTATGGTTTTGGATCTGCAGCCAAAGGGCCTGCTGATTGCTCCCTGGAATCTGATGGCTGACTGGGCACAGGCGGCTCTAACCCTCTCCCCCTCTACACACACACCGTTAAGCCTGTGGCCGGCAAGCCCATGTGAAGGATAAAGAAGCCTAAAAGAGACTGGGCCATATTTCCCAGTTCTTTGTCTGAACTCAGATAAATCTTCCTCTGGAGAGGAATGAGTTAAGAAGCTCCTCTAAGTTCCTCTACCTGGAAACCCAACCCGAGCACAGAAGGAAAAGAACCTGGTCCTACTGGTGTTTTAGAAAAATCATTATCTTATTTAATCTTGAAAACAACATTGTTTTCATTGTAGAGGACCGTTATTCCCATTTTTAACCAAGGCTACAGACTTGGGGAGAGTGAGCCATTTCCCCCAGATGTCTCTCCTACTTACAAACCTAGCATTCAAACCCAGATCTGATTCCAGAGACTGTGCCCTTCGCTTATAGTGTCCCACAGGGTTGGGATTGTGGTGGGTGACAGACATGATTGGAAGAACAGAGCATGTGAGTGTCAGTGTGAAGTTGACAGGCGAGAAAGTGAGTTGGGGTGTTGGCTGGGGAAAGGCCATGGGGATGCTGGAAGTGGTTCAGGAGAAGCTATGTCTGCCGGCTGGAGTGGGCAGATGGTGCCTACCTCTTCCCCTCCTTCTGCATCTTACCCCCTCCCCCTGCAGGCTGGTGCAGAAGGCGGAGCTGGTGCGGTTGTCCCAGACCCTGAGTCTGGTGCCCCGGCTGCATTGGCTGCTGGTGGAGGACGCTGAGGGCCCCACCCCATTGGTCTCGAGGCTGCTGGCTGCCTCTGGCCTACTCTTCACACATTTGGCAGTCCTCACTCCCAAGGCCCAGCGGCTCCGGGAGGGTGAGCCAGGCTGGGTTCGACCCCGAGGTGTAGAGCAACGGAACAGGGCTCTAGACTGGCTCCGGAGTGGAGGGGGCGCTGTGGGGGGAGAGAAGGACCCACCCGCCCCAGGAACCCGGGGAGTTGTGTACTTTGCTGATGATGACAACACCTACAGCCGGGAACTCTTTGAGGAGGTGAGCATTGGGATGGGGCTGGGAAAGAGGCCAGTGACCTCTGTTGCCTTGGTTACCACTGTTGCTCTGCGCTGTTGGGTGAAGAGGTGGGAACGTGGAGCTGAGTGACCCAAGTGGTCCTTCTTGTTGCTCCCTTTCCCCTGGGCCACCCCAAGTCTGTTTCTTGTCTCCCTACCTCTGTTAGATGCGCTGGACCCGTGGTGTGTCAGTGTGGCCTGTGGGCCTGGTGGGCGGCCTGCGATTCGAGGGCCCTCGGGTACAGGATGGCCGGGTTGTGGGCTTCCACACGGCATGGGAGCCCAACCGGCCCTTCCCAGTGGATATGGCCGGATTTGCAGTCGCCCTGCCCTTGCTGTTGTCTAAGCCCAATGCCCAGTTTGATGCAGCTGCTCCCCGGGGCCACCTGGAGAGCAGTCTCCTGAGCCACCTCGTGGATCCCAAGGACCTGGAGCCACGGGCTGCCAACTGCACTCGGGTAAGAGGATGGAGGTGGGTCACATAGCTCTGGGAAGGTGATGGGTGTGGAGTGAGGCCCTGGGGAGGAGGATCAAAGGACAGGTGTTTGAATCCAGAGGGACCCTTTGGAACTCATACAGCCTTGTGTATGCTACTGAAGGGGAAGCTGGGAGCCAGAGAAGGAAAGTAGTGTCCTGCCATTCTGTCTCCCAGAGTCCTAGGCACCTGTGTGGCCCACAGAGGTCAAAGGGTTAAGGCCCCATTTTAGAGGCACTGAGGCGTCCCTCCACCCTGCCCTTCACACTTTGCAGCCAATACTCTGTGTGTAGACGGGTCGGAGAATCTGGTCTACAATGAGGGTCCCAGAGGCCTGGCTCTGGCTGGGCCCAGCTCTAATGGAAGCCCTCCCGGGACAGGTTCTGGTGTGGCACACGCGGACAGAGAAGCCCAAGATGAAGCAAGAGGAGCAGCTACAGCGGCAGGGCCGCGGCTCAGACCCAGCTGTGGAGGTGTGATGGACGCCCCACCCTGACTACCATTTCATGAGGCACAGACCTGTGGGACTGGGCCCCTGGCCGGCCCAGGATTCGGTTTTCCAAGTCCTGACCCCTCGGAGCCAGGGGCCGCCCCTCTGCCATTTCAGTCCAGCTGCTTTCACCCTCCCCAAGCCTGTCGTGTGGCACTGCCCACAAGCTGGGGACAAGCAGCCCTTGTATTGAGCCGGGTCAGCCCTGTCTGGGGCGGAGCAGAAGGACAGACAGACTCAGGAGGGAGGGCAGCTGAATAACTGGGTAACTTATTGGGGCTGGGCATGCACTGGGGGGCTGGAGGAGCTGGGCTGGACCCTCCCCACCTGAGCATGCTGACCCCCCCTCCTACCTCCAGAATAAAAACATGTCAACCTGGAGGAGTCTCTGACTTTTTTCATTTCATAAGTCTGTTTCTTGCATTCTGATTCTTACTAGGGTCAAAACTTTGGCATCCTGGCTTCTCTCTCAGGCAGAAATCAGGTCTCTCAAAGCCCCCACCCCCTTGAAGAGAAAGATCAGTGGCTTCAGTCCAAAAGCTTTATTGAGTCTGCACCAGAAGCAGTCCACAGTCCTTCCCATGTCACTTTCCCACCACCATCACAGATGTCATTTTTCTGTTTCCAGGTGGTTCTGGCCACAGGGGCTAGGCCCTAAGACCCCTCATTTTTTCTCCTACCCAGTCCAGCTCGATGCTTAGCCTTAACCCCTCTAATCCCAGGGACCTCCCCACTTCTCCCACCTGGGGCCTTGGCAAGAGTTGGGAGGCTTCCAGTCTTGTCCACCCTCCGCCCCCTGCCAGTCCCCACCTCAAGCTCCAGGCCCCTAGGCCTCAGGTAGATCCTCCTTAGCAGGGGCCTCCTCCGGAGGAGCCTCCCCAGGTGCTGGTCTTTGGGCAACCTCTCCCTGCAGCCACGCTGTTTTCAGCATGTCTCTCAGACCACCAGGAAAGAGATAGCCCTGGGCCTCTCCTTCCCCATCGATGACTCCTCCAAGGCCCTCCAGCGCTGTCTGCAGGTATCGCAGGCCCAGGAGCACCAGAGTCTGGGGAAAGCAAGGGGAAAGAGGTCATTGAGGGCCAGTGGTTCCAGGGGCCCCAGGGTTGGAGGCAGTGAGGAGGCCCAGATGGAGGGAGGCCTCAGACACTTTGCTGACTCACCTGCAGCAGGAAGGTGACAGCCAGCATGCTGCCCAATGTGCTTGCCAACCCCTGCAGGTGCCCCAGCAGCACCCCGTGGCATCCTTGAGCCCAGAGGTTTAGGTTGGGCTGACGGGGATCAAAGAGGGGGTGGGCATGGGGGTCTGAGAGCTGGTTTTGCAGGCAAGGCCTGGGTGAATGGGGGCTGCAGCAGGAAAAAGGGACTCCATCAATCAGATATAGGCCTTCCACATTGCTCTGGATCCGGCTGCAAAGTGAGGGGCAGGGTGTTAGGGTGTCTGGAGACAGAGGCCTGGGGGAGAAGCTGCAGGGCACAGAAGTTGAGAAGAGAAAAATGAGAGTAAGACATTTACTGACTGCTTTACTAGGAGCCAGGCATGCACAATTCATTTGTCTTCACAGCAATTCTATAAGATAGGAGCTATTATTATCTCCATTCTACAGATGAAGAAATGGGCCCAGAGGAGTTTGGTTACATGCCCTGGGTCACACAGCCAATAAATGGCAGGGTTGTAACCCATTCTCTCAATCACTATGCTCTATTTGTTGCCTGTCTGGGTGAGGTGGGGTTTTAAGGGGAGGAGGAGGAGGAGGTGGAGGAGGAGGAGGGAGGCAAGTCACTCACTCAACCACGTCCTGGTCATTGGGATCCAGGTAACGGCTGCTGACCCATTGGACCCCAAACCAATCCTTGTACCCATGGCGCCCGCAGCAGTGATGCCTCAGCTGCAGCTCATCCAACAGCCGTTTGGCATGACAGTGTCCGGGCACCTCTGTGTCCTTGTAGTGAGCCATGGCAGCCCCCAGGCCCTCCTCTAGCCCCGTGTCCAGACTTCCAGGTAAAGCTAGGGCTAGTCCCAGGGCGAGGACCAGGAGCCCACCACCGCCAGCAGTACCAGCTGCCAGCATGGGGCCCAGGACCCTTCGCCAGGGAGGGTATTGAGCTGCATCCAGACTGGCCCTGCTGGCTCCTGCACCCACCAGTCCTGTGCCCAGAGCCACTGCACCAGCTGCCAGGGCAACTTGAGGCAGGGCAGTGAACGGGCAGGAGGGAGCCAAGAAGGTGCGAAGGTGCAACAGCTGTACCAGGAGGTGCCCGCTACACAGGAGGATGAGGCCACCAGCCAGCACCAGTATCCAGGAGAGGAGCCAGAGCCCCTGCGCCAGACGGATGCGGGGCCGGAGGGGCAGCACCAGGGGCAGCACGGGCGCCATCTCCCATCTCTGCCCAGGGAAGAGCAGAGTTGTCAAGGACCGGTTGTCTGGGACAGGACGCTGAGTCAGCCCAACCCGGCTTGGGCTGGGCTAATGCCACCTTGACCCCAATACCCTGGGAATCCTCCCACCTCAGCCTTAATAACCCGCCGCCCTATCCCCTGACTGCGCCAATTCGGGATGCCTTGGCCTTGCCCCTTAGGAAAAGCCCCGCCCCTGGCCCCTCCCGGAAGAGGGGAGGGGTTGGTCGGCTCTGCCCCGAGGGGCTAGGGGCTGGGGGCGGAGACCTCAGGGCCCACGCTCCCGCCGGTGTCCCCGGGGAGTACGGGGGCGAAGATCCCGGAAGGGCCCCGAGGGCGGAGGCCGGGCGGGGGCCTAGGGGTCAGCGGGTTGGCCCTGCCCCGTACTGAGCCGCGGGGCCCGGACAGGGAGGGGTTACCGGGCGGCCGGCCCCCCCGTCCCGCCCCCCCTCCCGCGCTTCCTGGCGGCTCCGCGTCCGGCGCCTGTTTGTGCCGCGGCGCTGGGGCACGGGACGGCCCCGCCACCCCACCCCCGGGAGCCGAGAGCGGCCCCGGGAGAGCCCGAGGCCCCGGCGGGCCCCGGAGCCTGCGTCCCCCGCCCCCTCCAGGCCCCTTCCCCGAGCCCGACAGCGCCCTCGGGGGGTGGTACGGCACCCTTGCGCGCGCGCCCCAGGGTGCTTCCCCTTCCCCTCTCCCTGGCCATGGCCCCCGCGGCTTAGACGCTTCCTCCGCCGCCGCCGCTCGGAGCAAGCCGGGGGCCGGATGGATGGGGCCGGGGGGCCCGGTGAGTACGGGGCGGGGCGGGCGGCGTGCCCCTTCCCGGAGCGCCCGGCCGGTCGGTCAGGCTGCTCGTGCCCGACGGCCGGCCGTCTAGTGGCGTGCCCGCGTGCTCCTCCGCCCCAGGGGCTCTGAGCATCCTCTGCTGTTCCCCAGGTCGCTCTTCCTAAATTACTTGGGTCCTGCTACTGTCATTTCGGACTTACACAACGTCATCCTACCGCCCCCTCCCCCCATATGACGCCAGACACCTGGCTGTTTCCCTGTCCCCTGTGTTACTCTGGGCCTCTTCTGCTGGTATTTCGTGTCTTTTCACTTCTGATCCCCGACTGTTACCCTGGGACCTTCACTATGGCTCTGCCTCCCCTGATGCCCTTTCTGTCATTCTAGATTTCTTCTCCTGGTCCTCTGAGCCCTGAGATAACTGGGCTCTGTGTCCCCCTTCTGTCCCAGTGCTCAGTTTCTCTGCCTGCCCTGGACACCTGAGCTTGCCCCGGGTGGGCCTGTCGTCCCTCACCAGTCCTGTGACTCCCTCTGTGGTTCCCACCAGTCCATGGCAGTACTCCATATTTCCCCCTGGTACTCCATGGTCCGCCCTGTCTTTGCGGAGGCTGGGACGGCAGCAGGAAAGGAGCTTTGCCAGCTTCCTCGCCCGCCCTGCCAGAAGGAGGCCCTTGATCCTCTCCCACCCGCCTCCTCCCCTCTGGGCAAGCCTTCAAGCCTGGGGCTGTTTGAAGGGGCAGTCCTATGGGACAAATGCAAAGTTGGGGGAGAAAGAATTCCCTCAACCCTTGCCCCAGGTGGCGGTACATTCTGAGCGAGCCTTGCCCCTTCCCAGGCGAGGGCCCTGCTCAGGAGGCCCTGCAGTCCCTGAGCCAGCGGCTTCAGGTGCAGGAGAAGGAGATGGAGCTGGTAAAGGCAGCTCTGGCGGAAGCCCTTCGCTTGCTCCGGCTGCAGGCGCCCCCCGCCTCCCTGCAGGACTCTGGCATGATAGCTCCTACAAGGGCCAGGTAGGCACATTGTCATACCCTCTTCCTCCTCCTTCCTGGGGCCTCAAACGGCATCAGGTTGACTCACTTTCTCCTCAGCAGCCCTGCAGCCCCACCAGGATTGCCCCCCTCATGCAGCCCCTCCTTGGTGAGCAGAGGCACCCAGACAGAGACAGAGTTGGAGATGGAGCCATCCCCTGGAACTCCTGGCCTGAGCAATGGACCCCCAGCCCCTCAGGGGGGCAGTGAAGAGCCTAGTGGGACCCAGTCTGAAGGAGGGGGCAGCAGCAGCAGTGGTACTGGCTCCCCTGGGGGCACTGGCTCCCCGGGGATCCTCAGGCTTGTACAGCTCCCGCAGTGCACTGACCCGTGAGTGTCCTGTGGCAGAGGCTGGGAGGGGTGGGAGGACTGGGGAGCATGAGTAGGGGGGGTGACCTTCACCTGCTCATTGTGCTCCTATCAGGGCACGGAGAAATTCCTCTTCATCCCCCTCAGAGCGGCCACGACAGAAACTCTCCCGGAAGGCAGCTTCCTCGGCCAACCTGTTATTGCGGTCAGGGAGCACAGAGAGGTGGGCGAGGCTCCCCCAACCTGCCCCACCCCAGGCTCAGGCTCTTGACTTTCCTCATCCCTCACTCGCTTCCCTGGGTGGGGTGGGGGGACCTCATTGCCCAACAGGAAGAAAGGAACAAGCACTCCTGGGGCGCCTGCTGTGTACCCGGCACTGTGCTAAATCCTCGACCTCCTCCATCTCATTCAGTCCCACGACATCCTTGGGGGGTAGGTGGTCTCATGCTGTTCATTGTCCAGGTGAGAAAGCAGGCTCAGAGAGGGTAAGTCATTTGCCTGGGGTCACTCAGCTAGAGGCAGGATTCAAACTCAACTCTTCCTGATTCCCCTGCCCTTTCCACCCTATCACAATATGCCTCTTTGGATTCCAAGAGGGTTTTCCGAAAGCTTCCATGATTTTCATGGAAAACTGTCCTCAGACTTTCAGCCCCTCCCCCTTTCCTAATTTTTAGAGAGCAAAGGGAAATCCTAGTGGCTGAGCATAGTTGTCTCAGAGTGTGTACAGGCCCCAGGACATCTGAGTGTTCATTCTAGCCCTATCCTTGGTCTCTCCTTTGTTCCCTGACCATATGTTACCACCTTATTATTATCTAATGACAGTGATCTCTGGAATTCTGTCACTTTCCTCTTGAGAGCTAAGGACTTTCTTGTGTGCCTCTCAGAAAGGCAGGGCTGGTGTATATTCTAGATTCACTTTTGTCCCATTTTGTAGATGGGGAGATGAAAAGGTCCAGAGCCAGAGATCTGGTAGTGTAGAGGACGGGGCTCCTCCCTGTCACCCCACACTGCCTTTTACAAGCCTCGTGGCCTTGTGCTGTGCGCTCAGCCCCTCGAGCCTCAGTCTGCTCATTGCTTAAGTGGAGCTGAAAGTCCCCACTTACCCTATGGCCCTAAATGCCCAGAATGCAACCTGAAGCCAGCAGAGGTGACTGGTCTCCGGAGTAGCCTCCCTCCTTAGTTCTGCCCTCCACACTTAGATCTTGGGGCCTGACCCCATCCTCCATGCTTTTCTCTCTTCCCGACAGCCGTGGAGGGAAAGACCCCCTCTCCAGTCCTGGAGGTCCTGGATCTCGGAGGAGCAATTACAATTTGGGTAAGTGCAGAAGCATTCGGAAGAATTTGGATGAAATAATGAGGGTTTGGGCTAGAGACCCATGAGCTACTTTGGGGGTACTTGTGAGGTTTGCTGGGTAGAGTTCTGCTCTGGCTTTCCTGGAGGGAGGCTGCAGGGTGGTGGTTTACACCCCCCCCCTTTTCTCTGTAGAAGGCATCTCAGTGAAGATGTTCCTTCGTGGCCGCCCAATTACCATGTACATCCCATCTGGCATCCGCAGCCTTGAGGAGCTGCCCAGCGGCCCACCCCCGGAGACCCTCAGCCTTGACTGGGTGTATCCTGCCCTCTCCAGGCCCATGAGAACCATCTTTCCCATCTTGGGACCCCAGCCCTTCATGGTTTCCTCCTGGGTCTGTAGGGACAGGGAACCTCTGAATCCTCCCTTACCATCTTCTGCCAATGGCACTGCCAGCCAGAAGCTCTGTTCTCCCTTCTTCCTCCCACTGTCCTTGATCTGACCCTTTTGATCTGACCCTTTCCTTGACCATGATCCCCGCTCCAGTTATGGGTATAGGGGTCGTGACTCCCGCTGTAATCTGTTTGTGCTGCGTTCTGGGGAGGTGGTCTACTTTATCGCCTGTGTGGTGGTGCTGTACCGGCCTGGGGGAGGCCCAGGGGGTCCTGGAGGTGGCGGCCAGAGGCATTACCGGGGGCACACGGACTGCGTTCGATGGTGAGGGTCCTGGGCCTGGGAGTGGGCAGCTCTAGGCTTGGGGATGATGGGCTTGGCGGAAGAGGCCCTGGGCGGGAGTGGACGAGCAGGTGAGAGAGGCGGGAGTGGAGGAGCAGGTGAGAGAGGGGTTGCCTTGCTGCTCTGGGAGCATGGAGAGGTATCCTGGGTGGTTTTGAGAGACCCACCCCCTTCCTTAGAGTGTCTTCTCCACCACTTAGCCTGGCCGTTCACCCTGATGGTGTTCGCGTGGCCTCAGGACAGACAGCTGGAGTGGATAAAGATGGAAAGGTAAGGCCAGAATCGAACCCAGGCAGACAGGATGAAATTCTGGCCCAGCTTTCCTTCACACCCCTGGCCCCTTCTCTTGCTGCAGCCCCTGCAGCCTGTGGTTCATGTCTGGGACTCAGAGACACTGCTGAAGCTGCAGGAGATCGGACTGGGGGCGTTCGAGCGGGGTGTGGGGGCCCTGGCCTTTTCAGTTGTGGTGAGTTGGCCCAAAGCCTCTGAACCCTCATCTTTCTTATCCGAGAGCCCCCTTCTTGAACATCACCGGGAAGCCTCAGACTTTCTCGCCTTCCTGACCCCTGCCTGGCCGGTTCTCCTGAGAAGGGAACATGTGTTCACTTCTCCTTCCCTCCCAGCCTGTGATGGTGTGTAATGACCATGAACTCCCAGCCCTTGCCCTCACTCAGCCCCTCCACCCTGTCCCCATCCTCAGGATCAGGGTGCTTTTCTTTGTGTGGTGGATGATTCCAATGAGCACATGCTGTCTGTGTGGGACTGCAGCCGGGGCACAAAGCTGGCTGAGATCAAGGTGAGGAGTCCAGGTGGCCGTCAAGGCACCGAGGGTTGGGACAGGTGGGGTGCAGAGAGTCCAGACTTACCCATACATTTACTTCCTTCCTGGCTGAGTCACCTGGGGCCAGCCTCTCTGAGGCTGTGAAACGGGGCCTGCACAAGCTCTGGCCTCCCAGGCGATGAGTGACTAGGAGTAGTGCTCTTAGGGGGCCAGATGTGGAAGGAGGGGTGCCCTGGGGTTTCTGGACTTCTGCAGATCAGTTGTCTGGATGCAAATGAAGAGAGTCAAGTGGAGTGAGGGTGCTCAGGGCTTGGGGTGGCTGAATCTATGTCTTCTCTTCAGAGCACAAATGACTCAGTCCTGGCTGTTGGCTTCAGCCCTCGTGATAGCAGCTGCATTGTCACCAGCGGGAAA